TTAGTACTAAAATAGAGTCGGGCCGGCGCCCGTTTTTGGGGTCGTGCGGGTCGTTTTCAGACTCTAAAACAGCGTCGCTTGTTCTATGCGGGAATATGCTAAAAGTAAATTGTGTTAAAGATTTTTTTTGTACTTAATTTTTATCCTGGTTTACTTGTCAATGAAAAGTTCTTCCAAGACTCCGCATAATTTTAGACATATTTTAGATAGATTTAAAAATTAACATCTGAAATTTGTTTTTAATTTCTTCTCAGAAATATGCTGAATCAAGAAACAACCCTGATGACAAAAAAACGGATAGTTATGACATAAGTTTCCTTATGTCTGGAAATGAAGGTAACAACCTAATGAAGAATTTAGTTTTTAAGGTCAAGGATAATAAAACTATTGGTTTAAATGGTGTTTGTTGCAAACTAAAAATATAAAAAAGACTATATTTAAACAGTAAACAAACGAAGAAATAATATTAAAATAACACACTTCCTACAAGAAATGTTTTGAACTCTTACCTGTTTTCACAATGAACTTTTTGTTTTGGTGAGAGTCGCATGATTGTCATTTTCTTTTTTTCAAAATTTTCCAAAATTCATAATGAAACCATAAGCTGATGCCAAAATATTGTTTACTAGTCTAAAGATACTGTAGAGCTCATGGATTGATAGACTTGTTGTTTTGCTTCAGTTTCTTAAATTTTCCTTAAGCAGAGCAAAAAAAACATCTAATTAAATAAGTTTATAATTAAAAATAGTTTTAATTTATTTGAATTATCTAGTATGAGAAAGAAATCCGAAAAAATGTGAAATAAAATGTGTATTAAATTCAACCTTTATTCTAGAAGGAGGTGGATATGCTGGTTATTCTCATATTGATAGTGTTTGCTTCTTGTAAGTAAAAACAGGAATTGCATCTTGTATTCAGCTGCATTTGCATGTGCTACATACACAATGATCTTAACTTAGCATGCACAGGATATTGCAGCTGCATACAAGTAGGTTTTGATGAGTTTACACACATATATCCCAATTACTTTTTTTCAAAGCGATAAAATGTCATCTGTAAACTCGTCTCAAAAAGAGTAAAAAGGATAAGTCCAAAATTTGAGAATTTATATAGTCAAAATTTCTATGTTTGAGCAAGCAATTTGGTATTTTCCCCCAGGAGGTTTAGGAAAAATGTAATACAGCTTAGGTATGTTTTTATCCTGCTCCATCTAGGGTTAGTTCGAACAATTAAAAAAGAATTCCATTAAATTCATAGGTAAGTTGAAACATTTGTTCTGTTATCTGCATTTTCTGGGTTTTTTTAAATTACCTTTAGTTAACATTCTTAATTTTATTAACAACATTCATTGAAAATTTTTAAAAACTTCAGCAGCTCCAGCCATTAACGGTTTAAGAAATTGTTATCAGTGTTCTGTAGTATTAACGGCGTAAACAGCACTAGCAATCTAACTGTATTTAACCTTTTCTGTTGATTGAGTAGTATCTAGATTTTAAAATCAACTATATTTTTCCTTTCCTGAGGAGAACCCAGATACTTCCACTGCTGGAGAAACCCAAATTTTTTTAATCTAAATTCTATTTCTAAAGTTGACCAATTCATTAGCTTTCTTTATATGTTATTTACTAAACCAAAATTCTTAAATGTTTAGCTAGTTTACCACCTGTTTGACTGAATGACACTACTTACAAGTGATGAAAATGAACTTGGTTCATTTTCTAACTTTCACAAAAATTTGAGGTTTTACAAATTTTAAAACTTTTTCTATTGAACATTTACTTTTCTTATTTTAAGCCTAATTATTCCCCTTTGAGGCTTGATTGAAAAAGAGCAAATAAGAAAATATATTTTAAAGTTTTGAAATGTGGGAAGGTTTTTCAATATTTTTAAAAAGAACAAAGAACAAAAAGAACAAGACTCGGTGTAAGCTTTACTTTAATTGCATTGCATGTTGCTCAAGATAAAGCTTTGTGAGTGTGAACTTAATTTATTTCCAATTTTGTTACTTGTAATTTTCACCATCAAAACAAAAATCCAGGTTTAAAAATTTTTCAAATACTTTAAGTGCTCAAATTCCCCGTCTTCTCTATATTCTCTACATTTTTATTTTAACAAGTCAATGCTTATAAAAATAAAATGTTTTCCACTAAATCATTTAATTCATTTCACTGGTAAAGATACAAAATAGGTAAAAGTACTGGTAAAGGTAAAGTGTAAGTTTTATTTATATTTAGATCATTATCAAATCATTTTAATTAAGACTTTAAAAAAATTTAGGAGAGATCAACCCAATGAAGATATAATTGAAATAATAAGATTTAGTTAAGCTTCTTAACACAGAAGACAACATTTAAAACGATCAAAACATGCAAAATTTTTTATTTACAAGTTTAATAAAATTTTAAGCAGAAAAAAATGAAATAACAAAATTAACCAGTTTTAGCTTTTTGTTAAAGTTTTTAACAGTTAATTTTTATTTCAACAATGGCAAATCTGTTCCGTTAATGATTTAAAAATTAATGGTATTTGCTGTTTGTTAACGGTCAGTTCAGTTAATTTTCAAAAACCTCTTTTCCATTAATGAAACTTTGCCCAGCCCTAGCTCCATTTGCCAATACTCTCCATTACAATGATTTCCACATCTAGACCATTGCCTGATGAACATCAATCTCCTTAAATGGATCATGTCTAAGATGTCTGTTAGGTTTATGAAAAGTTAAACCCCCCAAATATATTGCTTATTGAGCTTGCAGGGATTTCCCTTCTCTGCATTTAAAAAATGTGCATATTTCGACAATGGAGCTAAAAAAAACCTGGGAACAGTTTAATCACAGATCTGATGAATAATAGTCCATTCCGAGACATCTAGACTCTAGAACAACCCTTTATATATGTGTTTCAAACCTTAGTATACAAAGGAATGCTGTTGGAATGATGAAACTTCATCTGAAGAATGGAAAGCCTAAAGGCAGTGATGCTCATATAGTGCTTGCTCATGAGCTTGGACATGTTATGGGAGTTTATGATCATGATGGAGAGAAATCTGCTGGAAAATGCCGGGGGAATACTATAATGACACCCATTACTGGACCTCCTAATACAAAATGGAGTGAATGCTCAAGGTAAGATCTAGAAGAATAGCACTAAACTAAATTATACATGAATTAAACTTGGGTCATGTTAACTCAAAACATGCTAGAAAGACGGTATCACTTAGTAGGGTAGTTTAAAAGATTTTTTGTAATTTTAATGTATTTTTAAAAATACCTTGAAAACTGCATTTGAAAATATATGTAACATATTTTTATTTTAGCAGCAAAGTTTTTACTTTTTAATTGTTTAACCTTTTTAAAAACCTTACTAAAGCCCTAAACAGTTAGTGGCCTATTATTTTAGTGAGCCTGCCCTTAAAATGGGCTATATACATGAATTGCATTTCTTACCTTTTGCTCTAAGGCCTGTTTAGGGATTGATACATATATTTTTACTATGATCCTTTAAACTACATTTTGACATCTACTCTTTTGACTTTTCTACATTACAAATAATTCTAGAAAAATATAATCATATTCTCATTTAATGAGAACAAATTGTGTCTGCAATAAATTTCTCTTCTCACAAACCATCGTTTTTAATTGTATAACATGATGAGGATGATGATTCTGATATGAAATGTAAGGTTGTGTTACAAATTGAAAAAATGGGTACTATATTTTTCAGTTGGTAATACTGGATAATGAAACAGAAGGGTGTTCATGAATTGAAAAAAAAGGCCTATGTGTGGGCCTTTTTGGGGAACAATAAATGGGCAACATTGTGGGATATGATCATAGAAATACAAGCAGTTAAATTGATTTCATATTTCAGGAAGCAGATAGATGATGCATATGACAGACGTGAGAGTAACAAGAACACTTATGGAAACTGCTTTTATGTTTAAGCCTTTAGAAGTAGTTGTGATTAAGAATTAGAAATAAATAGTCTGGAAATTTAAATTGCATAATAAACCACTGCTTCTTAAAAGAATAATAAAAAAGATTACCAATAGCTTTAATAAATGTTTGGTTAAGGATGGACCAAGCTCTATAGAGTATATAAAGAAGATGTTAGTTTCACATTTTTTTGAAAATTTAATTTTGTGGGGGTTGACCTTTGTCAATTCTAATGATATTTCTATAAAATAAAACAAGAATTTAGTATATATGTTCCCTTGGGCAAACCAGCTGAACGAAATGGGCTGACATTTTTTTTGTGGACACTCATGGGTGATTATAAAAATATTAAGAAATTGAAAATCCTAGTGTTTATTGACCCTCTAAAATAATGTGCCTACAAGATCAAGCCATTGAGAAGTTGAGTATCCAACAAGAGAGCTCTGCTGAAACTGTTTACCAATTTGAGTGCTAGAATAAATGTTTTTTTACCACCTTGTCAGAGGTCGAGGGGTTTCTATTTTGAAGAATGATTAGGAAGATCTGGGGTTAAAGGAAAACTGGATCCTTTTCATAATTTCTATTTTTTGAATGCAAGGAAATTCCCACAACTAAATTTACTGCTCTGATTGCACATGATACTTAGCAATTCTGTGGAAGTTAACAAAATTCTTGTTTCTATATTTTTTGTTTAAAATCTGGCTTTTTAATTATTTGTTTACATTTACATAACAACATTTCTTATTTATCATAGGAGAAACTTTTAATCTATCTAAATCATCTATCAAAAGTTTTGAGAAAATATTAATTCTTTAAATTCTATAAATATGATTAGTTTAAAAGACATTACAAAACATTTAATTTTAGATTCACAGTAGGAACAGCACAAGTTTTTGCTCTTTTCATCATTTTTTGCAATTCAGTAGTTTTAAGTTTTTTGCATTAAATAATTCACCTACAACGGGAATTTAATCAGAATTGGGTGTACAGGAAAGTGTTGAAGTTTGTATCAGAAAGAGAAATAAGAGTGATGGTTTGAGAAATCCTGAGAAACTCTTTAAAGATGAAACCCAGATCTCCTAAATCTCCAAGAATCAAACCTAAATCTGTTCATAAAGTAGTAGAGAGAAATGAAGATAAATCTGATGATGAACAAGTTACTGGTGCCTTTGAAACCTCATATCACAATACCAAGTGGTATCCTGCTAATCTGAAGTTTTCATGTCCTTTGAAACACCATTAACATGAGATGAGCACCTGTGCTCAGTTCTTCTCGTTCAATCCGGCAGTGAGCAAGATCAAGATGTGTTACACCTGCTTAGACATTGCAATTTTAAAGCAAGCGTTCCTGAAACTCTCAAATGTCAGAGTTGTGCTCCGCAGGATCAGGCCAAGAATTTAAATATAAAAATAACGATTTTTGCAAATTTTTTCTTGAGAAAAATAGAAAGATTTTTTGTATAGTTACTAGCTGAAATCTTTTTCTTCAACCACAGCCCTACCTAAAATAAAACTCCAATAGTACTACACAAATTATTTGTGAATTCTTAAAAAATTCTTTTCTGATGGACTACACCTTTTTGCAATAAAAAAATAAAAAAATGATGTTACTGATTTTTGACAATTTTTTATCTTGGAAAAGATTTTTTATTTGATCAGTGCAGTTGTAAAAATCTATCATAAATAAATTTATTTAATTTTTATATTAAAATTATGAATGTGTTTTAATTCTTGTTTTAGTGCAGATCTAAATCAGCATTGATATGCAGATTAAAGCAATGCTTATATTCATTCTTTTAACAATTTGGAGATAATAACATAAACTGTAACTTTTTACATTTATTAAAAAAACCAGTAATAATTTTGCGTTAAAAAGCTGATTTCTCTGAGACAATTTATCTTTTTATGTGACAAAACTAGAAAAAGTAGGGTTTCTTTTTATAAAAACAGTGCTGAATTCTAGTAGTTCATACAAATTTTCAATTGTTGCCACTAAATATTTCAGAAATGAATTTTCTTATTCTTTTCTGTGTTTTCAACCAAGCTATAACTATCAAACAAGGATTTAGGTGAATAATAGATATGGTTGATGTCAGTTTGTTTGATTATAATGTAACACAAATTTTAAAACATCCAGTTTCATTTGTGTATCTTTCTTTCTACTCCAATTCCTTCTAAATGTTTAAATTTGGACGATAAACTGAAAATATTGGCCTCCGGAATTAAAATAAAAAAATAACTCTAGTATTTAAATCAGTATTGAAGTTGAAAAGAAAGTTGATAACAGAGGAGTTAACAACTACAAAAGGAGAACAGTAGAAGTTGGAGTCTATCTAGATAAGTATGTGTGGAATACTATGAAAGTAAGTAGAACCATCTTTTATTAAAGAATTATGAAATAAACAGTAAATTGACAAAAATTTGAACTAGTCAAAACGCAAAAATAGTTGGGTTTTGAAAATTGAGGGGTTACCCTTGACATCAAATGAACATATTAATTTTTTTTTTTAAATTTAACAATTTAAAAAAAATATATTAAAAAAAATTTTAATTCTCAAATTCTTTAAATTTGGCCTTTGTTCTTCTAGTTTTGTCTTTTTAACAAAACCTTTAACAAAAAGAAAAGATTTAAAGGAAAAAAATATTTTTCAAAATATTTTAAAAGCTTTATTTTTTAGCAACAAGTAAAAGGATCTAATGTCCAAAGAGAAACAGAAAAGATGGTAAAAGATCTATTCAAGGATGCTGCAGTTCTATTTAAAGACCCTTCAATTTCAAGAAATGGTTAGTTTTCCACAAATATTTAAAATATGTGTTTAATGATTTCAAATTTCTGAATTAATTTTTAAATACTCTTTTCTTATCTATTAGGAGGTTTTGATCTTAAAGTAAACGGAATTATGATAATGAAGGTAATACAACTAATTACTCTTACTTACTAAGAGAGTAATATGATTAATAATATGTTTGGACCCTACTACTGCTACTTAGAAATGGGCACAAAAGGCTTTTTTCATGTCATGACCCATTTAGTTAGTTTATTACAACCATTAAAAAAAATGATTTTTTTTCATTCTCAAAAATATCTTTCATTTTCCATCTATTTCATATGTTTTCTTTCTTAAATAAAGTTTTGTTTATTCGTTAAAAATGATGTTGATTCACAAAATATTGCCAATCTTATATTGCTACTCAAAAACTAGGATATGCTGGGGGGGGGAGGGGGGGCTCTGAATCCCATGTTTGATGTTCAAATATGACTTATGATTAGGGTTTCCAGCAAAAAAGGAAAATCATTTCATCAAAATTTCGCATTTTCTTGCATTTCGTTTGCAAAATATGCAAAAATTATCACAAAATCCATTTCCCGAAAAAATGCGAAATTTTCAGGAAATAAGGAAAGCAAAAGTTTTGCAAAAATTTTGTGAAAAAATAATGCAAAATTTTGCGAAAAAAGACTAAACTTTTAGAATACAAGATGCATATTTTCGCGAAAATTTTTGCACTTTTTTGCAAAACATTTTTTTGCTGGAAATCCTACATATGATACATCATTCGAAAGCTCTTATGCCCTACATGTAGAATCTGCAAAAAAATGGGCAAATTTGCAAAAATTTAATTTTTTTACAAAATCCATTTATCTATATATAAATTTGGCTTGTCTGTCTGTTTGTTTGTCTGTTTGTTTGTATCCAATAAACGTCAAAACGGCTGAACTGATCGGGTCCAAATTTTTTGTGGGACATCACTTGACCACAGGGAAGGTTTATGAATGATCAAAATTTCAAATATTTGTCTCCATCAAAATTTGATCTTCATTAAATTTTTGAAAATTTTGAAAAATCCGCGAATTATTTTTTTTTTTTTTTTTTTTACGATGTACACAAAGAGAACATGTTCACAATTAATTTAGAAGATGGGCGCGAAGCGCTGTATAAGGCTAGTAAAGTAAAAATGTTTGCAAAAAATTTTCCAAAAAATGATAAAATATGATAAAATATACAATTTTGAAAAGCCCTTGACCATGCCATTTAAAATAATCAAAAATGTTTGCATAATTTTAAATAACCTGATGTGTAATTAGGAAAAAACTAAAAATGTGAAAATCTCTTATGACGGGTTATGCAAATAATTTGAAAAAGAATTCTTTGCAAAACTTGTGTAATCCGTTTCCTTTTGTCATAGGCTTTCCAAAACTCTAAAAAATTTCAAAATTTCACACATGAAAGTGGGTCAAAACAAAGATTTAGCTTGTTACAGGAAAAAGTAAACATTCAGGCAGTGTGTCTGAGGGCTCATGCAGTTATTATAATAGCCCGATTTTAAACCTAAAGGGAGGGCAATGGGTATTTCGGAAAAGTCAGAACATTTTAATAGCCTCAAACCATTACTTCTAGAGTTATGTGAAAATAATGGTACCAGTACAAACGTCGGACGCCACAAACGTCAGACAGTACAAACGTCGGACGCACAAGCGTCAGACCAGTACAAACGTCGGACCAGTACAATTGTCGGACCAGTACAAACGTCGGACTAGTACAAACGTCGAACCAGTACAAACGTCGGACGGGTACATTTATAAGAAAAAACGTCAGACTTGGTAGATTTTGAATGGACCATTGTATTAAACAATTTCAAACTATGAATTCTACAAGATCATACAGTTTAATCCCTATATCTTTGCAACCTGATGTTGTAGATGTTTCCAAGAACAGTTCGTGGACTTATTGCTTTATTTCCACGGCTTTCTTTAACTACTTGTTTTTCTATTTCACGTACTCTTTTCTTCAAAAGATCACTGTCATGTGTATGCTCTCCCAGGAAACTGATAATCTTGTCATTCTCAAGAATTGTTTTTCCTTTGAATGCATTGGTAATCGTAGCATTAGAATTAACATCTGCATTTTAAATAAAACAATACTTCCCAGAAATATGCTAACTCAAGAAACAACCTTGATGACAAAAGAGAGGATAGTTACGATATCAGCTTCCTTCTGATTGGAAATAGAAAAAGAGGTAAAGACCTAAAGAGGGATTTTGTACCCAAACAGGAGATTAAACAAAAGAGCCCCTTAAAAATCAATTTCAAAATTAAACCTATTCAACTAAGATTAT